CCCAATCTGGCCCAATCTCCACTCAGAGTGACCTTTCCCACAATATTGAAGTAGATTTTGTCACTCTGCTGGTGTGGATTTGCCATGATTTTGTCATGAGACTTCCTTGTCCTCAAAGCTATTCTCTCAAGAAGAGGATGTATCCAGAGTGCTTGGGGGTGGCGGCGAAGTAGACTGAGAGCTGCACATCCTTGCTGAAGTTATAAAGCCTGAAGGAACTAAGATGTGAGCCCATTTTGTTTCCGAGAGTTCTATCAACAGGGACTCTACAGGATGTGAATCCAATGGTTTAATGTATTTCCTCACTCTGCAACTCAGCAAAATACACTGGATCTCTCTTTGTCAGGCATCGTGCAATATGGCATAAATGAGTGATGTAAAACATAGAGAAAATGACATTGCCTGGCTTTGAAAGAGAGGTTAGAGCCAGGCAGAAATAGCACCTTGAAGAATATTTGGGCACTGTCCTCAAGCCATTTTCTACTTGATTGTCAAAGAGTTGGCAACATTTTTATAGTTACATATGAAGTGAAAAAAAATTTCCCTGGGACACATCTTCCACTCCCCAATCCCCACGCTGACCCAAGGTGCCTCCTGGTTTCAGCCTTGTGGCATGTGCCAAGTAATAATAAAAACACTAACGATGGAGAGAGGCAGGAAATGGACAGAGAATTATCTCAGAATGTTCCCCAGCCTTTCAGTGGTTCAGAAACCTCTTTTTACTGCAAACAATGAAGTGGGAAGAATGGAATTGTAGAGTCAAAACTGGAATTTACCCTTAAGGCCATCCAGTTCAGCCTCTTCCTCTGACAGATGAGGGCTTGGGGGCTCAGGGAGCGGAAATGGTTGGCCAACCTAATGACTGAACGACTGGGACTCTTGGCTCCTAAGGTAGGCTTGTTAGAATTCACATTTCCATATTGCTTCATAGCTGGGTAATATATTTGGACACACTCCCCTCCATGGCATGAACAGAAAATCTTCAAATGCAGTTTGCAGCCTAAAACGTGCAGGAGTGTGCACACACAGACATACACATACACACAGAGATGGGGTGGGGATGGGAGTAGCTTATGTTCAGGTCCTCATTTCCAGAAACCAGTTCCTACAGTCAGGAAATGGTTTGCCACAATGTCTGGGGAAGCCCTTTGTATTTACAATCTGGTCATTTTGGAAGCATGAACCTAGGATTCCTCAGCTGGACGTCAATAGCTGATTAATTCAGGACACTGATTTAATTCATGACCAATAAACCTCTATTTCACAGAGAGGGCTGCGTTGGCATGTGCAGAGCCCAGCTCCCCAGATGGAGTAATCTTTTCCTTATTAATTTGCTGCATGTTGCGTCTCAATTCTCACAGTCATTCCAAATGTGTTACAAACGACTATATGCTCTGGGTCCCGAATCCACTACTGCTGTCATTTTGAAAGGAAAGAAAAAAAATTGTTGACTATAAATGGCAGTGAGCTTTCCTGGCTCACATTTACATGCTTGCTTTCAAATCCTCAGTGCACTCTTCCAACTCCTGCCACACTAGGCATTGCTCCACCTGCAAGCACCCATCGCTCTTGTGTTTTTTTAGGAAATGGAAACCCTAGATGGTTGGGATGATGTTTTCAGGGCGCAGGAAAGAGGTAGTGATGTGGCTGGGATAAGAACTCTCAGTTCCAAATTCTTGGGCTGTGCTATCTTCCTATTATCTAGAAGAACATGTGGAAGGCTGATTGCTTAATTTCCTTAATCCAATGATTCTCAAATTTGAATAGGCACAGAATCACCTGGAAGGCTTTTAAAGCACAGATTGCTGGGTCCTACTTCCAGAGCTTCTGATTCAGTAAGTCTAGGATAGGGCCTGAGAATGTGCATTTCTAACAAGTTCCCAGAGATATTGATGCTGCTGTGGCTGCAGATTGGAGATTGCACTTTGAGAATCATTGCATGAGTCCACTTGGAGGAGAGTATGGGTAGTGCCAGCTCTAAGGAAGCACAGCTTAGTATCTTTTGGAGAAGGCCTCTGCTGTTTAAGGATTTCTATTTTATGTCTTTTTCCTCTTTGCTCCCTGACATGCACCAAATCTCAGTTTAGAAATTATTTTTTAAATGTTGGAGCTGAATGGAGAATGCAGCTTGCCTAAATAAATTTGAATGTGTACTGCAGTACTTGATATGTATTTTTCCAAAATGTGAGCACTTAAGTGGGACAGAAATATTTCTCCTGGGTTCAGCCATTCTGTGTAGACCAGCTCCTGGTTTCTAAGGAATCATTTGAAACAGATTACAGTGCCAAGCTGCAGTGCTGCGGGAGTATCCTTATGTCCTGTCTAAAGGTAGAACATACACCTCAAGCTCAACCACTTTTTGGTGATTTACACGCTTAAGACAGGTCCTGTCATTAACTACAGCACCTTGTGTGATGTTTTTTCAAGACAGAAGTGTTTGTTTTTCTGAAGAACTTTTTTATTTATTTATTTTTTGCCAGATATAAATTAGCTGCTTACACTTAAATATGTAATGAATGCAAAGATCTTGTGTGTGTGAGTGTGTGGTGAGATTTAATCGGAAGGCCAGCTTTTACAATTCCATGCTACTGGCATTACCAAGCACACAGAATTGTTGTTAGTCAGAAAAGCAAATGTCAAGTTGAGGAGCTCCCGATCTGGTGGTCCTTGCCTTGCAAATAATTAGAGGGGTTGAGGTGAAGGCCTATGGAAATCCTACCGAGTGCCACTTAAGTGAGTCTTTCTCTTAATGAGGAATATAATGTGTAACATCACAATTTTTTTCTTTTAATATTTAAGCATATTCTTCAGGTAATTTACTGTATCTAATCGTGTATCAAAATGCAAGGAGGTTGTATTTTTTTTCTACAGAGAATTAAAACAGTGGCCAGAATTGAGAGAACAGATGAAGGTACTCAAGAGATTGGGGGTAGAGGTGTAAGCTGGGTGGTTTATTAGTGGGAATGCCCATAAACACTGGCTGGTTTGGGGTGGCTGCAGCCACTCTAGTTAATGGGTTTGATCTTAGGTGGGGAGTTCACCAACCACCAGTTAGTTCAGTGTAACCAACAAGAGTCAGATTCCCAACCACTCCCCTTCTTGCCCTCAAACCAATCAACCTTTAAAATAACAGTTAAAACAACCCACAGTTAGAAAAGAATGACCCAGATTCCATCAAACGCTAATGTTCAACATTTTGAGATTGGCTCAAATCCATGGATTGCTCTTTCCAGGCTAGATACTTCCACTACCTACATGTATGCACATATATTCTTATTCTAATTACTAGCATTCATTACTTAACAATGGCTTACCAAAAGAAGCAGCCATTCCTGCTTTATAAAACAGGCTTGATGTTAGAACATGATGGACACATGTATGTTTTAAATTAAGCTTAAACCCTAATACTACCTGGAGTGCTGGCTGAAGCCTTCTGTTGCAGTTCAAAAGGTGTTTGACGTTTTATCTAGACTCCAGTAACCACTTAAATGAATAAGGGACAATGCAACATTGATCCATGCTAGGATATAGTTCAGATTCTCACTCAGAGCTGTCATGTTACTCGTAGACTTAGTAGAGCCAATCAAGACTTCATAGACACAGCTATTGACCCCAGAGGCTGATCAGTATGGAGAAAAACAACAGATCAGAGTAATGATCTGAGATATTTCCAGGCATCTTAATGATTAAACAGCTTTAACTGCTTACCCAATGAATACAGTACAAATTGGTTACTCCTATTAACTCCTTGGCTAATTGAGTAGATACCTCCATATTTTGGTGTTTGTTTCTCTGACCTCATCTTCTAATAAAAACTTTCAGTCATGTTTACCAAACTCCTTTAACTTCAGGTAATTTGGATGTCATGTTTAATTGTCACTTCTTTTTACTTAACCATTTCAAAAATATTTTAGTCTTCCTTCACTATGAAAATTGGTTAAGCCTGAAGTTTATGAGAGTTTTAATTCCATGGCTGGGCTGTCATGACTGGCAGTCAAGGGCTTCTCTTAGAGTTTAGAGTACCTTTGCAAGTTCACTGGACAGATTAGAATAATTCATCTCATTCGATCTGTTCTTCCATATACACAACACAAGTCAATGTTTGTTATGACTTTCTTGATCCTTATTTATAAGACAATACAAGAGGAAACCATGTGCGTATGTTTAGAAATAGAAATGATACATTGCACAGATATAGTTCACCACGTTCTGGGATGGGTTGTCAGTGTTCAAATGAGGAGTCTGAAGAGTAAGAACAGATGCCTTTTTTCCTTAATGGCCCTTTCTCTAATTTAAAATCCTTCCATTGATTTCCCTAAGATTTAGCGATAACTTTAAACACTTTAACTAAATTACCCAGCGGCTTGGCAGCCATCACAGAGGCAAATCCTTTTAGAAATCCTAGCAATCTGTTAGATCATGGGTACTATGATATAAAATCTGTGTGCTCCATGTACAAAAATTAAATCAGTGCAATGGATACAAATACATACTGCAAATGGCACCATTTTCAAACCAAGAGTACATGACCTGTCTCCAAATATTGAATTTCTATATTTTTATTCAGTAGTTGACTTCCTAAATTTGGGCCAACTTATAATCATTATCCCTAAGTAAACCTACTTTGATTTTTTTTAACAGTAATTTATAATCAAATAGAGCCAGCCAGCCCTGATTCATGGATTCTGATGTTGCTAGGATACACGGTTTGGTATTTGATGAAAGTATATCACTTCAAAGGGGAAAACTTTCAAGTGTCCTAGAAAATGACACTCTCATCTTCCTCCATGGAAGATAGACCCAATCCTAGAGCTTCTCAGAAGCTCACAGACTGCAGGATTGGCCTCCCCATGCTTTGAAATAAATATCCTCTCTGGAGGGCTGTTCAATTGCTAAAACTAGTCAGGTTAGTCTTAAAGCAAGGAACACACATATTTATAATAAAAACATGTTTTCATGTTTGTTTTACAGTGAAGAGAAAAAAACCCAGAACCCCCAGATTTTATGTACTTTGAAAATATATTTAAAAACATTAAAAATTCTATATTTAAAACATATATTATATGTTAATTAGTACACTTAAATAGAACTTGTATTTACAATAGGCTTTTGATGCGGTTAAGTTTTAATGCCAATTTTTTTCAATAACATAATTATATAAATATACTAAAATACAATAAATATTTTTTTTTGTTTTACATGGTGAATAATATCTTTACCATAGAGAGAACAAGGCCACAGACATTTACTTACATTTTCAATGGGAATCACCATAAAAAAGCAACAGGCCTGCTGCCATGCATGAAAACACTTCTGCCACAAAGAGACCACAGCAAGACTTTAAAAAACAAAACAAAACAGAGCAGAACAAGAACAAACAGCAACAGAGAGAGATTTTAACAAAATAAATCTTAGGTCAACATAAACCACCAAGCATGTGATTGTGATGTATCTTATTGGGTAAGAGAGAGCCACTGACCACATGATTGCTGAATGTCTCCTACAAAACCACTTAACAGATCTGGTCTTGGCAATCCTTTGAGATTGTAATGGGGACTTTTTGTTTTTTAATTTTGTCCCTCAAAAGGAAGCTGCAAAAGGTTAATATATAGCAGATATTCCAAGCATTCCTTACATGTTGAAAATAATTACAAAGATAATATTTTTTCAAACAGCACAAAACAAACCTATACTACATAAAGTCTTCCTTCTTTTAAAGACAGGTATTTGGATGGTACCGTAAAAGACAGGCTAGCTTCAAATGAAAGACTGAACAAATAGACATTATTTGCTGATGGTATCTTCATTCCCTGGGTCATGGTGGACAACCTGTTCTGTTTATCTCACCCTACTAAGATGCAGCAATTGCTTGCGGCTTTCTGATACTCAAGGACACTGTTCCAGGTAGTGACCACTAAAATTTCTAGGCTTGAAATGGGCTTAGTGGGTGAATGGGCTTAGTTAGCTTTCACTGGGGTACCCGTTTTCCCAAGAACCACTATTCCAGGCTCCCAGTGTGACTCCTCCTAGCCCAAAATGGCAGAGGTGAGGGAGGGACCCTCTCTCTCCATGAACAGACAAGATGGGCAGGAGGTTGCTGTGGACTTCACTGGCGAGCATCATTTTGTCAGCTCTGTCCTGGCCTCTTGCACTGAGCAAGGCACCTTCAAGCCCTGTTGTCCTGGATGTCCAGACACCTTCCCAAAGTGTTCTCTCTGGACAAGATTTTCTATTGGTCCCCTTGATCATTCGGCCTGAGTTTTGGAGTTTTTTTTCCTATTCCCTTTCCCCTTACCAAAAGTTTTCAAAAGATAAAAACCCTGGTTTCCTCAAGTCTAATTTCGAAGCAGTAAGGGTTCATGTAGCAAACATCTTTTTTCTCATTGCATAATCTCATGATCACAAATGCCACATTTGGCTCCAAACCTACTCCAGGCTAATCCAACTTTATGCAAAATTATCTAGAGGTGGGATGGAGGGCATAAGTCGGCTTGAGTGTGGTCCTCCAGTTGAGAACCTCTTGAGCACAGTTAGATAATGTAGGCACTTAAAGCACGAGGTCAAACCAACTTGACACATGTCATTCCAGGGCCACCTGAAGGGTCCTTCAGAGGCCTTCCTTTTGGAATGTCTCAAGTACCATTCCTCACCTCCACCTAGACCTTAGGAGGGCCACTCAGAAATTCCTCCTGCACTGCCGGTAAATGACACATCAGCTCCACATAGCCTCCATATAGCTGCTTAGTCTCATTTCACTGGCAATGTGGATTCCTGTTCTGACCTAGGTATTTCTGGGCTCATATAGAACTCTACCTTTTGCTTGCAAGACATTTTTAAGCCTTACCACGAATTTGTTTTTTAAGCCTTACCATGATTTATTCAAATGTTTACCATTCATAAAAAAGAATCTTATTTTTAGGGTTTTTTGCTATTCTTTTTCTCTCCTAAAAAAGATAAATAAATAAATCACTGTTCTCCATGCTTATGTGAGTGCCATGATGTGATACAATTTGTTCACGTATTCATAGCAGTGGTAAAATATTTCGGAGCGCGCAACTGATTTTTCTTCCCTAAGATAAAAACAAAACAAAGAGGGGACCAGAGGGGGAGGGGGGGAAAGAATGTGCTCTAAGCAAACATAGGTCTTTCCAACAAAAGAAGCTTTCCCTGACCAACACCAAAGGGGTGAGCCAGGGGCCTGGGAGGTGCATCATGGATGTGGAGTGTGAGCATTTTTTTGTTCAGTTGCCTTAATTTTTATTCACTTTCCAGTCTTCTGATTGATATTGCAAACATCTTTACAACGTACAAAGGTATCTTTTATCAACCAGAATATATATTGAAGGAATTCTTTCCCCATCCCTACTCCCTGTGGGAACTAAAAAAACAAAACAAACAAACAAAAAAAAACACAAAACAAACAAAAATATACCCTCCCAAACCCCATCCCCTAAAGCCAGTAAAGCAATGACAACAGCACCTTGACATTGTTTTAATTCCAACGCTATCAGAAGTTAAAAGCAGTAAAACAGATATAGTACTAACAAGAACGAAGATACTTACTGTCTAAAATGTAAACGGAATGTTTTGGTTCAAATTTTTGTTGTGTTTTTTTTTTTGTCTGTTTTCTGAAAGAGGACAGTTTATTATCAATTCACAATTAAAGCAGCATGCAATTTATTCTTATTTTTTTTTTTAAACTTTTTATGTTTTCAATTCTTGGCAACGGCAACAAACCACAACATTATCGAGGAATGTAATGCAGACTTTTTTTTTAAAGTTGTGCGCAAATGACTGTTTCCCTTCTGGTCATGGATATGTCCAATAAATAGATTGTAGAACCACTGTACTGTATAAACTTCATTTATACATGCAGTTCATAAAATTATTTTTTCTTAACTGAATAATTTACCCTGTTATGTATATATACAAATAGATAATTTTTGTCTCAATATAATCTATACAACATAAATCCACTATCTTCCCCTTTTAATGGTCAATGTACATACACAGGAAGTGTCTATCCTTATGAATCGCCAGCCAATTCTCTTTTTGCTATCCATGGTAAGGGCCCTCACGTACGACTGGGTAGTTCGGCATTGGGAGTTCCAGTGCCTCTTGTCTATGCCCCTGCATCCTTCCTTTGTGTAACCCATGGGATTGCACTTGGTCTCGTAGAAGTACTGCTTCAGTTGGCCTTTCGAAACAGGGACTTTTTCAAGGACAGTGACCGTCCCGCCCGACATGTCCACTGCAGTCTTTTTGTCTGCCGCTGTCACCCACTCGCTAATACTGTCACACACGCTCAGCTCCCCACGGCGGGCGGGGTCGGAGTGGCGCCGGACCCTCATAGACATGTTTGCAGCATCCAGGTAATTTTTGTATTCCTCAAGCAGAAAGAGAAGAGGAGGCTCCAAAGGCACTTGACTACTAAGCATCACCCTGGAAGTGTACAAGTCCGCGTCCTTATTGTTTTCTTCGTTGGGCCGAACTTTCTGGTCCTCATCCAACAGCTCTTCTATCACGTGTTCAAAAGTGTCAGCCAACGACGTCAGGCCTCTTGAACCTGCCTTGGGCCCATTCACGCTCTCCAGAGTCCCATGGGTCCGCACACCTGGGTAGGCCAAGCCGCCTTGTCCTCGGACGTTTGCTTCTTTCATGGGGGCAGCCTTCATGCAACCGAAGTATGAAATAACCATAGTAAGGAAAAGGATGGTCATCACTCTTCTCACCTGGTGGAACTGTCGGGAGGAAACAGAAACAAGACACAAAGCTGGTTAGGGCTTTCTTTCACGGGAATACAACGTGGCCCATCTGATTGTAATTCCAGCCCATTCTGCAGGGTCAAGGTTTTTTATGTCTTGGTGATAAACTCCAGCTGCACCAGACACAAATCACTGTCAGTAGTGTGCTACACGTGGTTTAATATAAACCAGAGACATGCAGTGTTTCCCCCAAGATTTAGGATCTAAACCTGAAGATTAGATGGCTTCTAAGCAAGTGAAAAAATTGTGGTTTCAATTTCTCCTCCTTCCTCCCACTTTTAGCAGCTTTGTAAGTTTAATTTTTAATGATCTCTGCTCATGCTGTCATAAGAAACACAAAATCAGAAATGTTACTAAGCAACAACTACAACTGTAATAGTAATTTTTTTTTCAAGTGAGCAACATGGTCCTTTGCAGGAATGTGTGACAGGAATGCAGTGGCCTGAGGGTTCTGATGGGCCTTTCTAGCCATGTGATGTCCAGGCATGAATAGCACAAAAAAACAGCAGTCAGGGAGCTATAAGGAGCCTTTCCATTGACTTTTTCCCCCTCCCACAGAGATCCTCTATTATAGCAAAGAAGAAAGATAATTTCATTGAGCCATCCTGTTTTACAGATAAGGATGCCAAAGGCCATAGAGGACTTGCCTGGTGTCATGAAGAAAGTTTATATTAGAACGTGGGCCTCCCAGCTCCACTGTTCTTTGTAGTATACCTGGGTGGTCATAACTGAAAATGTTTTGCTTATTTCCAAACAGAAATCATTTTCTACATGTTCATTTTAATGATGTGTCTGTGCTTGGGGCGGATACATGAAAACAATGTGTCTGCTTAAGAGAAAACTGACAAAGTCAGCATTAAAAAGGCAAATTCAAATGCCTCCCATATGCAGACTCCATGTTTAGCTCCATCAACTCTCCGAAACCCCTCACACCCCTTGGCTTTTTCTGACTAATACACAGACCTAGCTAAGAAAGCTCAACTTCTTTTTTTATTGGAAATGTGGTCCTGTGTATGTTTGTGTGTGTGTGTGTGTGTGAGCTCTGAGTTTATCACACCTTTAAAATGCTCAGTGGTATTTTACACATTTTGGAATAGGCAGTTAGTGCTTCTTTCTGTGCTTTTGAAGTTTCCTGGGAAGTCCCTTAACAGCATACCACAAAATTAATCTCTTCCTGTTTGCCAGAGGGTTGCTATCCTCTAAATTTGGCTCTACATCTACAGGCATGCTCTAGGAAGCCAATTAGAATGGATGAACAAGCAAAATGAAAACATACCTATGGACCAACCCAAGGTTACTGTCAGGTGCTGAAGGAGTTCAGAATCACTTACCTGAAGCACTATGTCCCTTAGTAGTAACAAATAGCATCCCCCAGCCCTGGCACACTAACTTTATTCCTGCTTCTTAGTTCTGGGGCAGGGACTTACTTACAAAAAACTACATACATGCCACACTCGTTATGCCGTGCAAGTAATTAGGAAAATGGACTGTGTTTCTGTCCATGAAGTGTCACTGAATGCAAAGTTGCCTCCAGTCAATAGGTCAGAAGGCAGAAATGGTCAAACACTCTGGTATTGAAAATCAAATGTTTCTGATCTTCATTTTTATGAGAGATGATATTTTCTATCACTAAGAGACTTTATTACCATTCATAAACACAAATAAATATCCTTTAGATTCACTCTGCCTTTGCATAAATAGCAAGCATGCTCAGAACTGCTTGGATGGCTCAGTGGTCAGAGATTAGGAAGTACAAATTGGTTTGAATAAAATACAGATGTCCATTCTGTTAATATCTAAACCTTTGTGAATGTTTTGGATTTTGCATCATCAAAGAAATGAATCCTCCAAGGATAATTCTATTCCTGGCAGATGATATATCATTGAATGGATGTATCTTTTTCCTGATATTCCCAGGCCAAATTAAAACAATCCAAGGGGGCACCTCCTACCTAGGTTGATGAAAGGATGCAAATTTATAATACTTTAGCCATCTATGTCAGATTGATAGAGCTTCTCTGTAATCAGCTATCTTTTGATGCCATATTTCATCAAATCTAAGATATCATCATTATAAAACACAACATTTTATGTACCACTAAGAGAAAAAAATGCAGCCAAAGTATTGCTTTATCACTTAGAACTTTTATTATATACTTACCAAAGGAATTCTTTTAGACTTATTTGGACACCTCTTATCATATATAAATTTTATGCATGTTTAAAATAGAAAAATAAGCAAAATAAATTAAGACAATGACAACTATGTAGTGACTGCCACATAGCCAACAAAAACAAGATGACATCAACTGTAAGACACAAGCCAACTTAAGAGATGTTAACATATGAAAAAAAGGTACATCTTAGAATTAATGAAATATATTAAGTTTAATAAGTATTTACTAAGTGCTCACACTAACTGCTTAAAATGGCCAAGGTAATGAGGCATCTTAAACTGCGGGGTTGGAAAATTTTTTTGTTATCATTGCTACAGTAATGAGTCTTTTAATGATACCTTTTTCTATATTTGGCTTCAAGAAGTTTATCCTGCCTTTCACTGGTCTCATTTATCATTTTATTAATAACTTTTTTATTAGAAAGGTAATTAATGCTTTATATATCATTTTCTCATCAGATCCACAAGGAAACATTTCAGATGAACAATTAACATCTGAGTAAATATTATTTGGCTTTCATTCTGAAGTCCAAACATGGGCATGCTTCAAAGCTGAACATGTGCATCGAATTAGGAATTAACTAAATGGTGATAAAGTCCTATCCCACATCTACACTTCTGTAATTCTAACCGCCTATTCACTTATAAGGCCTTGAAGTCAAGTTGATCCAATACCAAACTCAATGCTTTTTGTCAGAACAATGGCACCTCCTACTTCTTCTGTTTCTAACCAGCCAGGCATAGAGTAGAAATCTTGGAGTAGAAATCAAGTTTGACAATACATTTCTTGCATAGCCTTCAAATCCAATCAGTAAAGATGTCCTGCTAATTTTTCCTTTAAAACACTTCTCCTTGTTCATCACTTTTTCTCCATCTCATTGCCACCAGCTTGGCTCAGCCCTCACCATCTCATTTGGGGACTACAATGTCCCCTGCTATACTGGACACCCCTTCTGCTCCATTCAACTCCGATGACCACCTCCTGACTAACCACTCATTATTCTTTCACACAAAAACTTGCAGTGGCTATTTTGTTCCATCAGATTAAATCTAACCTCTTCTACCTGGTATTAAACATCCTCCAAAATCTGGCCTCACCCTTCTTAGCTAACTTTCTCTTATTACTCAATGTTTCACTTTCTCATGTTACTCAATGCTTCATCATCTCTGCTCTGATCAGACCAGAGCCCTATACACATTATTGCCTGGAAGTGACTTGCCCCATTCTTCTGTCAAAATCTTCCCTGTGTCTCTCTCCTGGCTAAATCTTTTTTATCCCTCATAGTCCAGTTCAAGCATCAAGCCACCTTCTCTAATTACCCCAACACATACTACCTTCCTTCTCTACCATTCCACATTATATCTTATTTGGAACTTTATTCCCTACTCATTGTTAACTGTATTCACTAATTATGGTGAGTCCTCAGTTGGAAGATAAGCTCTTTGAGGGAATGGATCATGTCTGATCTAATGCTTAACACAGGAAAATGTAATAGTAGTACTCGGTAGAAACCAATGGGTTTATTAAACTAAGAGAAAAGACAGTTCTGACATAATGGGAAGCCTTTTCATTTGGAAAGCATCAGTGAACTCACTGAAATTCCTAAGTAAAATATAGGCTATATTAACCCCAAATTATAATGTAAGTTGGAAGGAATGTGACAGATAGCAATTATCAGCCATGAGCAATTTCTTGAGTGCCTCTAATAGGGTAAAACTTTACTTGAATAATTAAAAAGCAAATTACACTTCAACATACTAACTGTCCTACTCCTTCCTGTGCAGCTCCATTTCTAACAGATCAATAGAATACTCGGAAAGTAGTCAGTAGTAGTAATAATGATAATATTCAAATTTGGAGTTTTCAGTCTTTTAACTTCCATTTTCTTATTCTGCCAAGTTCATCAATGAGTAATTTTATATACTGCATTAGAAAATCATAAAAGATGAAATAAAAGCTTCCATGGCAATCCTTCATTTTCACTCTTCAGATGAGAGTCTTTATTACACAAAAGATACAGAGGTTGTGCACTATTGCTAAGTAGATCATTAGTCTATATATCTATTTATACTGCATAAATTCATTGGTGCTGTCTAATTCCGCTCCAAGGCTTAAAGCAATCAACTCAGCCACATCTATAAAATGCTAGGAAGGTTTTCTTAGCTCCACTCTCAGAAAATTCAATGTAGACATAGGACTGAAAAAATATTCAAAGAAGTTGATATAAAGTTTAGTTTTAAGCATGACTCACAAGTCTTAAACATTCAATCAGAAGAATGTCCATGACATTCAAATGCTCTCCTTACATTTGTCTAAGAGACTATGGAACATTCACACGCATCATCTAATTTGATTTTTACAAGGAGGCAGGATGGGTATTATTATCCCCATTACACAGATGAGGCAATTACACATCAGAGAGGTTAAATAACCTGTCAAATGTCATAAAGCTGGTAGGTCACCTGTCTCCTGGAACCAAGCTTTTACCATCAGGGCATGCTGCCATTTTTAGAACATTAACTGCACAAAGGACAGAAGCTATGACAATGAGGGAGCTTATACAATGTGGACACAGCATCCTACAGTGATGTGTATGCTGGAGCCCAACTTTCCAAAGGCAGCACCAATTAAGATACTACTTCACTGGACTGGACTAATCATGACCTCTACGACCCTTCAACTTGGAGTCTTGATTACTTCAGTGGATGGAATTTCAGACAATACAGTCTTCTTCTAGGAGAAAGCTTTACAAAAATTTTGGCTTGTTAGAGCTAACTTTCCATGGCCAAAGCTGAGAAG